ACTTAATACATGTAATCTTATCTAAATTTATTATAAAAGCTGAGGTTTGTTATTTACTGAAAAGTTATATTTTAGCTGGTGTCAATGATCTAATGCTGCATTTGGTCAGACTCAGCCCATTGCTTTACTTAAGTATATTATATTTTCCTTTTACAGCTGCAGACTGAGGAAGATCCTGAAACACACCAGCAAACCCTAAAACAGACAACAGTTTACAGATGTTTTCCAGTGCAGCAGAACTATGACTAAACTTTTGGGTGAAACTTGTTTACTTTTTTCATACTTTTATTACTTGTGGGAAAACTTGAAACACTTTTAAATAAGTATAAAGAATGGCATTGGTTTTGTACATGTAATTTTTGTTTAACATTATTAATAAAAATGTTGTTCAATTAGCATGTTTTTGTGTTTTGCTTTGGTACCGAAATTGGTACAGAGAACCCTGGATTTTCACTGGTATTGGTACTAGACTTGTGCCTGTATTCGGTTATGCGATATATCACGGTAATGAATATGCACGATATTGTTATCGTGGGCACTTCTAAATACCGTGAATAATTATATATTACAAATTATTTCGAATTTTGAATGCATTTTAAGAATACTTTAACCATCAACTGGTCAAAATGCACAACACCGCTGTATGCGTTAATACAGTTAATACAGTTTCATTAGTTAACATTAGTTAATTAATTAGATAACATAAACTGCCAATAAAAATTTCTTCTGAACATTCATTAATCTTAGGTAATTACAATGTTTAATAACACGTTGTTAAAATCGAAAGTTGCAACTGTGTTATTTAATGAGCTAACATGAACAAAGACTTGTATTTTTTTAAACAAAGATTAATAACTTCTGTAGCAAATGTAGCTATTGCTCATTGTGAATGTTAATGCATTAACTAAGGTTAACTAATGAGGTCTTATTGTAAAGTGATACCTAATGGTCTTTATAGTTCTTTTGCACTTTAATCTGTGTAAAACTTTTAACTTTATACATTTTTCTGTATTGCTTTATTGCATTTAAATGTTCAGTTATTTTTGTTATAAGAAAAAAGTTATTAAACCTGTTATACTGTATTATGACAGCACTTTATTTTAAACTAAATTTCAATACCGCGATAATAGCGTATACCGTAATAAAAGCATTAGCAATTAATCGCAACATGAGAATTTGACACCTAATTGGTACCGAATACTGAAATGTTGGTACCGGGACAACACTAGCCTGTACATGTGCCTTCTTTAGCAGTGGGACCTTGCGGGCGCTGCAGGATTTCAGTCCATTGTGGCGTAGTGTGTTACCAATGTTTTGCTTGGTGACTGTGGTCCCAACTGCCTTAAGATCATTAACAAGCTCCTCCCGTGTATTTCGGGGCTGATCCCTCACCTGTCTCATGATCATGACTATGACTATGTATCGTATTACAGCAGTACTGTTAATAAAATGTCTTCTGTTTTAAACTGTACAGTATGCAACACAAATACTACTTTCTAGACCAATTTAATGGAGCAGACGGATTATCTTCAGAGAAAAATATATATATATATTTCTGTCTTTTTCTCCGTCTCATCAGCAGGAAGAGAAAGAAAGCAGCATCTCCAGTATCCAACTGTGTGTCCATGAAGAGAAATAGAATGATCCACACATCAGAATCCCTGAATGATCCACACATGTTCAGGACTGGAGCAGTGCGCTTTGACCCTGTGTGAGTATATGATCTTGATGTGCTAGACATTTAACACAGGAATACAGAATGTACACAGAGATTCCAAGACGGTAAATGTTCTTTAGCAAGAAAATATCATCAAATGAAATCATATTCTCCTTTTTAATTAGTACAACACAAATAAAAATCATGATGTAAAGCAAGAAAGCCTTACTGGAAGAGGCCTTTGTTAAATGAAGTGTGTGATACATAAAGGATAATTCATTCCCAAAATAGAAATCAGAAAATTCTGGTTTGGAATAAATAAACGTTATTTTTAAATTAGTGGTTCGCAACCTGGTTGCCATGACGACTGGCTGGGGTGCTGTGGATAATCAAAATGTCTAATTCTAGCACTGTAATTATTTAAACTGTAATATTTGATCATTTTGATCAGCGGTCCTATAAATTAGTTAAGACAGCATCACTTTTCAGTCAAAAACTTCATTTACATAATCACTCTCTCTCAGCAAACAGAGAGAGATTGTGGGTGTGGCTGTGTCTCTTGTAATGCTTTGAATTCAATAATTGAAATGATGAATCTGAAAATTCTGGTTTGAAATAAACTTGATCCTAAATCAGCAGTTTCCAAAGTTTTTTGCAGTGATGACTGGCTATGGATAGTGCAGAATTTCTAATAGAAACCAAAATGCTCAATGTCCATTTTTCACAGTCCATTTTTCTTCACGTTTTGTGCGATATGTTTTACTAAATAGCCTCTGCATAAGCAATAGTAACAAATAAATAAAAACCTTTACTAGTGCTCTAAAAAAAAAAAGACCACAATCATCTCACTTCTGGTGATAGGGATTTTAATGTTCAACAAAGAAATGCAAAAACGTATTAAATCTGCGATTGCTTCTATAGTATATCATCTGTCATCTGTCAATGTGAACACTGCTTTTTGTCCATGTCAATGTTTCTGTTATTGGATTCTAAAATAATTTGACAGTGTCTTTTCTTGTTTGTTTATATCTCTGTTTTGTTTTATAATGTTTTTTTAGTGGTAAAAAAGCTGTTTCCTCACCGACCGGCACATCCCCCTACTGTCAGAACAACTTCAGTCATCATGACACAGTAGCAAACCTGCAGCTCAATTTAGACCAACCAATGCATGTTGATCTGCAGAGAATCAAAGACCAGCACAAAACCAGCATGAAGAACAAGTCACAGTGAGATTCTGAAAATGTTCCTGACAGGAAAGTCCAGAACTCATTGTGAGGATGTTCCTCTGGATGTGTTTCTGAAGGGAGCAACGAATAAAGCATTGAGCAGTAAAAATGGACATCTGGATCTTTTCCTTCGATTTCTTCATGGCATCTCACTGGAGTCCAATCAGAGACTCTTACAGGATGCACTGATACACACAGAGAACAACCCAGAGAGCATCAAGAACATAATCAACAACCTCAAACGAGGTCAAAAAAACAATGTTTGTCCTGAAAGATGGATGAATCTGTCACACTGCTTGATTGAGATGAAGGATAACTCTGTAGTTGAAAGAGTGCAGGTGCTTTTAAAATCTAAAGCAAAAAGTAAAAGTCTTTCTCTTGCACAATGCTCAACTTTGGCAAACATGATCATGATGTCGGAGGAGGTGCTGGATGAGTTAGACCTTAAAAAGTATAATATCAAATCAAAAGAGGGTCGATGGAGACTGTTCCCTGCTGTGAGAAACTGCAGAAAAGCTCTGTGAGTATGCGAAAATGAACATATTTACATTTGACTTTTTTTTGGGGGGGGGGGTTCAGTTCAGTTTCTTATTATCTAAAAAATATCCTAAATAGAGTTTCTCTACACCTTTGTGTAGAGTAACTCTACACCTTTGTACTTTATCCACTCTTAAAGGGTGCATACTTATCATACTGACAGAAGGCCGAGAGGGTACGGTACAAAATTGTACTTTTGAAGGTATGAAAAATAACTGTAGTGTTACATATGTTGAACTGTAACAGTGTTGGCAGAATTACCAATATTACCATGTTTATATTAAAAATATCATGGTAAATCTGTGGTTACTTCTGTCTTACTACAAATACCATAGCTAAACTATACAGTAGTTGACAGTAAGCCTACAATTTGTATGCTTTTGTCTGACAGCTATATTAAAAACAATTACAGAACAAAACATGATCCATTTGAACTTTTAATGTTCAACTTAAATGATTATAATACTAATTATAATAAATGTTACATGTACAGTCATGTCCGGAAGTATTCGGACACGGACTGAGTTTTTGTGCTTTTGCCTTTATACACCACTACAATGGATTTGAAATAAAATAATCAAGATGTGATTGAAGTGCAGACTTTTAGCTTTATTTTAAGAGGTTCCACAAAAATATGACATTTACTATTTAGGGGTTACAGTCGTTTTAAGCAAAGTGCCTCCATTTTCAGTGGCTCAATAGTATTTGGACAGTTGACTAAGAAGAGGTTAATTGAGAGGTTAACCTGGTGCTGCCCATTCCCTCATTACTTCAAGACAAATGAAGCAGAAAAAAGATCTGGGGCCTCATTCATAAAGTGTGCGTACGCATGTATTTTATCTTAAAGTGTGCGTACGCTTAAATCCACGCCAACGCTCATATTTGCAAAAACTGCCTTTGACGTGGAAAAGTGCTTAGCGCTTATGGCTTTGTGAGGGTCTGAGCAGATGTACACACTTTTTCTTGTTGGGAGTACTGCAGGTTTTTGGAAATGTAAGCTGTTCTTGCAGATTTGAACAATGACTGGTAATCGTTGATATGTTAATGACATTAATTAGGAGTCGTTTACAAGGCAGAGAGCTGAAACCATTCAGTTGTGTGCAAGTTCAAGATCATTTGCGATTTATAGATTTCACATCTAAAAGAGACGTGCCCTTTCTGTGTATACGTTCATTCTATGAATCACACATATGCATATTTGAGAGATGATCGTAAGATGGTTTCTGCGCAACATTTTGTAAATGAGGCCCCCGGAAGCTGCTTGACAGGTGCTACCAATGAAGTCCAAGGAGACCTCAATGAAAGTGAAGGAGGCCATCATTAGGCTGAAAAAACAACATAAATCTATAAGAGAGATAGCAAAAACCTTAGGTATGGCCAGATCAACGGTTGACTACATTCTTAAGAAGAAAGAAAGCACTGGTGAGCTCAACAACATCAAAAGGCCTGGAAGACCACGGAAGACAACTAATGGGGATGATCGCAGAATAATTTCCTTGGTGAAGAAAAAAGCCATAAAAAATCATAGCATCAACAGAAATCAAGAATACTCTGGAGGAGGTAGGCACATCATTGTCAATATCAACAGTCAAGAGATGCCGTCATGAATGTAAATACAGAGGGTTTACAACAAGGTGCAAACCACTGGTAACATTCAAGAACAGGAGAGCAAGATTCGATTTTGCCAGAAAACATCTACAAAAGCCTCCCATGTTCTGTAATAAGATTCTAGGACTGATGAAACCAAGATTAACTTGTACCAAACTGATAGGAAGAGAAAAGTATGGTGAAAGAAAAGAACGGCTCACGATCCAAAGCACACCACATGGTGGCGGTAGTGTTAAGGCATGGGCATATATGGCTGCCAATGGAACGGGCTCACTGGTGTTTATTGATGATGTAACTCCTGACAGAAGTAGCAGGATCAATTCTGAGGTCTTTAAGGCTATGATAATTTTTTAAGGCAATTCAATTTAATATTCTGCAATGGCTAAGTTAGTCGCCTGATCTCAGTCCAATAGAGCATGCTTTTCACTTACTGAAGACAAGACTGAAGGCAGAAAGACCCACAAACAAGCAGCAACTCAAGGTGGCTGCAGTGAAGACCTGGCAAAGCACGGGCTCCAGACTACAGGCAGTCATTGACTGCAAAGGATTTTCATCCAAGTATTAAAATTGTGCTTATATTTACAATTATGTCACTTTGTCCAAATACTACTGAGCCCCTGAAAATGGAGGTACTTTGATTAAAAGTCTGCACTTCAATCACATCTTGATTGTTTTATTTCAAATCCATTGTGGTGGTGTATGAAGGCAAAAGCACAAAAACTCAGTCAGTGTCCGAATACTTCCGGACCTGACTGTATGTCTTCCATTTGTATATTGTGAAATTACTCCAGATTGTTTCTCTATTATATGATAAGCATTCTTCTGAGCTGTATTTCCCCAAAACATCATCAGACTAAGCTGACTGTAAAGATGGCAGTAGTTTAAAGTAGAAGTAATGATGCTTTTGTAAAACACAGCCCTGTTTGAAGCGCTGTTAGTGAAGTGTCAGGAGTGAACACTCTCTGTGACCAATTCTGTTTTTCAGCATTTGCATTTTTTTTTTTTGTATGAGCAAAAGAAATAGTTCCATCTTACACAATTAGTTACATTTACATTTTAGACTTATTCATTTAGCAGAACTTTTTTTTTTTTATCCCAAGTGACTTACAAGTGAGGGCTTACAATTATTTACTTACATAGTTTATTTTTCTTATTTTAAGCATTAAATTTCATGCTAGAAAATCATTGGTAAAGATAAAGCATACATGCCTACAGATTTGATTATTTTATGTGAGGGTCAATTCCTTTGAATACACCAGCAGTATCAAAACTATCAATACTTCAGGATCGATCCACCTGTCTCTTAAAATATGTTTAATTCAAAATGTAAAGGTTTATTATTAATAGTCCACAGATTAGTTATAGCTGTCCACATAATTTATTTCCTTCCCATTAACAATTACACACTTGGGAATGTGAATTTCTTAAAGTCAGTTTTCATATACTTGATTTTTAAAACATTTAATTTAGGAAGGACACCTATCATGCCAAGACACAAAATAATCTATTATAGGCACTATAGCTGTTCTTCCTTAATAACACAATTGTCAGCACACTTAAATGTATGTCTTTTCATAAAGGATAACTACAAAGTGTCAGATTCATTGAAAGAATAGCTGTCGCTTCCTCAGACATAGTCCAGTCAGTACGATCTAAACCAGGGATATGCAATCCTGTTCCTGGATTTCCAGTGTCCTGCTGAGTTTAGCTCCAATCTGTCACAACACAACTGCCTGGACGTTTCTAGTAATTAAAGTGATAATAATAATAATAAACCACAATATTTAGCTAACAAGACATGTACATACAACAAGAAACAAATATGTTGAAGCATAATACAAATAATGTTCATAAAATATGAAATCATGTCTTTATTTTAAATGATCAATCAACATGATCTTTTCTGGTGAACGAAGTTAGGGAAACCAGCACACCAGCATGTCTTATACCCAAAGCCTTCTCTTTTTTTCAGATTGGCACGCTGTAATCTCACTGATCAGCACTGTGAAATCCTGTCTTCAGCTCTACAATCATCAAACTCTTCTCTCAGAGAGCTGGACCTGAGTAACAATAACCTGCAAGGTTCAGGAGTGAAGCAGCTCTGTGCTGGACTGAAGAGTTCAAACTGTCAACTCAACATACTGAGGTTTGACTTTCACATTGATTCAGTATGTTAATAATAAACATATGAAGCTGGGGTTCTGCGAACAAAGATACAAAATAGAACAAATATACAAATTAAACAATGTTTCAGCTTTTTCAAGTTTGAAGGTGTTCAGGTACAGAAACCGAATTATCAAATGTAAAATGGCATTGCATAGTCTTGACCACATAAATTAAATATGGATTCATTCTTGTTAAAACTACAAAAGTAATTCAGTCAAGAGCAGTGAGTGATTTTCTCTCTTTTGTTTTCCTGGATTAACATTAAGGACACCGACAGTAGCAAGCAAATTAAGCGCAGTCACTTTAAGAGACAATACATCAAATAATGCACTTCCGATTTCTTACTCCAGGGTTTATGTTCACTTAATACATACCCAACAGTTTTCAAGGATACGCACCAAGACGGGTATTTCAACATAATTTGTATGTAATTTTGGTAACACTTTATTTTAGGGTCTCTTAACTAGTTGCTTGTTAGCATGCATATTACTAGAATATTAACCATTTATTAGTACTAATTAAGCACATATTAATGCCTTATTTTTACATGACCTTGTTCTACATCCCTAATCCTAGCCAATACCTAAACTTAATAACTACCTTACTAACTATTAATAAGCAGCAAATTAGGAATTTATTGAGGCAAAAGTATAATTTTGGTTTTCTTTTCATTGAGATTGAGAACATTTGCTGACATCCAGACATCAAGTGCACACAGGGAGCCCAGGGAGCAGTTGGGGGTTTGGTGCCTTGCCCCCTTACAATCCCTGCCAGTACTGAGACAATTTCAGACGCTGACATATACGTTGCATATCAGAGAGCTGGAGCTGTCTCAGAAACATCTTCGCCACACATATGTACTTTTATATTACATGAACCTTATTTTAGAAAATAATATTAATAACAACATTCACATTGACTTTATATTATAATTATACATACCTCCGCAACAGCTTTTGTGGTTTCATCGATGGTATATATAAGGCCTAATTTATTTTGTTCATAATCATTAAATACTATTAAAATGCTGACAAAAAATAACCACATATCACACACACACACGTATAACACAAAGTTTATGTATTTATTATTTTTAATGTTTTGAAACTCTCCCGAGATGCGCACTCAGTTAAGGTGACGGTCATAGAGCGGCCTCAGGTGACTGGTAATTTTACATTAGGATGAATACGCTACTTACAGGTGATTAATGATTATTTTTTTTTTAAATCATCCAGCAAAATATCATCATCTTTATCATCTCTTGTAAATTAACAATGCTGCCTCAGTAAATTAATAAAACTTTGAGTCGATGCCTAAATAATATACAATAATATTAATAATGCATGAAATAAACATTCAAGCAGAAATAAGAAACATGTAAACCGCATCTCTCATTCAAACTCGCTCGCTCCCTGCCATCTCTTCCAGCTCGTCTGTCCTCTCCACATCAGATTATGGGAAATAGTGCTTCAGCGAGTGTACATCAGATGTACACTCAAAATCAGAAAGGATTGTGGATAAAAAGTAGTGAACAAATGTAGGGAATGTAGTCATTCATAAAGCTCTAAACAAATGTATCATTTATTTTTTCCTCACAGCCTTTGCAGTTGCACTGTATACATAAATTATGAATTATAAAATGAAAAAGTATTTTTTAATTTACACTGAAAAATGCTCGGAGAACCATCCTCAAACTTAATCCTGAACTTGTTAAACCAATTATCTTTATGTAAGATATGTTTCAAGGTTTTCAACATATTTTAAGTCTTAATATGTTTTTCTTCTGTTAACTTTTTACTTAAACTTTTTCTTTAACTGTTTATCATTAAATCATATTGTGATGTTTGTCAGACACCCAATTCAGGCTTTGCAGTCTCTACTAAAGAGATGACGAGTTGAAGTTTAAAAACCCCTGATTTAGAGAACTAGGCGCTTATGGCACATTAAAGGGAGATGAAGAGAGGTGTGACGTGGGCCCTTATGTGCATGTTGAAGAACAGTTGTGCTGCTGCATTCTGAATCATTAATAAAAGTCTAGCCAGAAGAGCATTGCAGTAGTCCAGTCTAGAAATGACAAGGGCCTGGACAAGAAGTTGTGCAGCACGTTAGGAAGGGCCTGATCTTTCTGATGTTGTGCAGTGCAAATCTGCTTGATCAAGCGGTTTTTGCAATGTGTTCTTTGAAGGTCAGCTGGTTATCAAAGATTATGCGAAAAACTCTTACCAAAAATTGATGGGGTAATTGTTGATGAACCTAGCTGGATGGTGAAATTATGCTGTAGAGTCGGAGTGGCAGGGAAGACAGAGAAGCTCAGGCTTTGCCAGTCCAGACATTATAACCAAAGTCCTCTCTTTTTCTTCAGATTGGCAGGCTGTCATCTCTCTGATCAGCACTGTGAAATCCTGTCTTCAGCTCTACAATCATCAAACTCTTCTCTGAGAGAGCTGGACCTGAGTAACAATGACCTGCAGGATTCAGGAGTGAAGCAGCTCTGTGCTGGACTGAAGAGTCCTAACTGTCAACTCAACATACTGAGGTTTGACTTTCACATTGATTCAGTATGTTAATAATAAACATATGAAGCTGGGGTTCTGCGAACAAAGATACAAAATAGAACAAAGATACAAATTAAACAATGTTTCAGCTTTTTCAAGTTTGAAGGTGTTCAGGTATGGAACGCCAAAGCTGACTAAATAAATAAATAAATAAATGTACAAAGAAATGTAAAAAAGCAAATATAAATAAATAAATATATAAATAAATATACAAAGAAAAGTAAAAAAGCAAAAATAAATAATTATTTATAATTTTATTTCCTTGTGTATTTTTTTCCACATTTATAGCTTTTTCTTTCATTTATAAATTTATTTATTTCCACTTTTATTTATTTTCACATTTATGTATTTATTTACGTATATTTATTTCTTTATTTCTACATTTCTTTATTTCTACATTTCTTTTTCACATTTCTTTATTTCCACATTTCTTTGTCTGTAGGGTAATGAGGAGGCGTGTTTTACCTCAGGAATAGCAATCGAGCCAGAGTAGGCGAGGGGTAAGCTTTGAGGCCACAGTGACACCTTGTGATGCCAAAACGAAGTACAAGAAGTGTAGCCTACGTGACGCGCCTTTTGATAGTGTGGGATGAATGATTTAGATGGGCAATATGGCCAAAATCTTATATTGCGGGTTTATTATTTCAATTTCACGTGGGGGGTTGTTAAGCGTGCAATCTGTGATCGCGTGTATTTGCTGAAGCTCGCGAAAGCGTGTAATCGCTTTCTTATGCACGCTGTTTTTTTTAGGTTTCACTTTCAACACATACAACGCATGTTTCAAAGATTCAGGATAGAAGGAGGCATCAGTTACTGAAGAAGATTTGTCGCCTCGCACCACTTCTCGTGTGGTCACCGCATGTAGACACGGCTTTAGATACAGATTAATCACATGTCTAGGCTGGAAATATCCGTATATCATATTTGACAGTGAACGCATCTCCACTGCATAGCCACATACAATCGTTGGTGTCAGTCGCAAATATTAATGTTTTAGGCTACAATGCATGGCGTGTGTGTTTCACTAGCTCCGTTCCCATGAACACCTTTAGTTTGATCTGGATATTTCCGGCCTAGACATGTGATTAATCCGTATCTAAAGCTGTGTCTACATGCGGTGACCACACGAGAAGTGGTGCGAGGCGACAAATCTTCTTCAGTAACTGATGCCTCCTTCTATCCTGAATCTTTAAAACATGCGTTGTATGTGTTGAAAGTGAAACCTAAAAAAAAGAGCGCGCATAAGAAAGCGATTACACGCTTTCGCGAGCTTCAGCAAATACACACGATGACAGACTGCACTCTTAACAACCCCGCACGTGAAATTGAAATAATAACCTGTGATATAAGATTTTGGTCATATTGCCCATCTAAATCATTCATCCCACACTATCAACAGGCGCGTCATGTAGGCTACACTTCTTGTACTTCGTTTTGGCATCACAAGGTGTCACTGTGGCCTCAAAGCTTACCCCTCGCCTACTCTGGCTCGATTGCTATTCCTGAGGTAAAACACGCCTCCTCATTACCCTACGGACAAAGAAATGTAGAAGTAAAGAAATGTGAAAATAAAGAAATGTAGAAATAAAGAAATGTGGAAATAAACAAATAAATTAAATATGTAAATAAATACATAAATGTGAAAATAAATAAAAGTGGAAATAAATAAATGTATAAATAAATAAAAGAAAAAATAAATAAATGTGGGGAAAAAAATACATAACGAAATAAAATTATAAATAATTATTTATTTTTGCTTTTTTACTGTTCTTTGTATATTTATTTACATATTTATTTATTTATATTTGCTTTTTTAAATTTCTTTGTACATTTCTTTATTTATTTATTTCTAATTAAGTCAGCTTTGGCATTCCATATTCAGGTACAGAAACCGAATTATCAAATGTAAAATTGCATTGCATAGTCTTGACCGCATAAATTAAATATGGATTAATTCTTGTTAAAACTACAAAAGTAATTCAGTCAAGAGCAGTGAGTGATTTTCTCTCTTTTGTTTTCCTGGATTAACATTAAGGACACCGACAGTAGCAAGCAAATTGAGCGCGGTCACTTTAAGAGACAATACATCAAATGATACACTTCCGATTTCTTACTCCAGGGTTTATGTTCACTTAATACATACCCAACAGTTTTCAAGGATACTCACCAAGACGGGTATTTCAACATAATTTGTATGTTTTTTTGGTAACACTTTATTTTAGGGTCTCTTAACTAGTTGCTTGTTAGCATGCATATTACTAGAATATTAACCATTTATTAGTACTAATTAAGCACATATTAATGCCTTATTTTTACATGACCTTGTTCTACATCCCTAATCCTAGCCAATACCTAAACTTAACAACTACCTTACTAACTATTAATAAGCAGCAAATTAGGAATTTATTGAGGCAAAAGTATAATTTTGGTTTTCTTTTCATTGAGATTGAGAACATTTGCTGACATCCAGACATCAAGTGCACACAGGGAGCCCAGGGAGCAGTTGGGGGTTTGGTGCCTTGCCCCCTTACAATCCCTGCCAGTACTGAGACAATTTCAGACGCTGACATATACGTTGCATATCAGAGAGCTGGAGCTGTCTCAGAAACATCTTCGCCACACATATGTACTTTTATATTACATGAACCTTATTTTAGAAAATAATATTAATAACAACATTCACACTGACTTTATATTATAATTATACATACCTCCGCAACAGCTTTGTGGTTTCATCGATGGTATATATAAGGCCTAATTTATTTTGTTCATAAGCATTAAATACTATTAAAATACTGAAAAATAGACTTTAGACTTTATAGTTATACAAAAAATAACCACATATCCCACACACACATATAACACAAAGTTTATGTATTTATTATTCCTCTTTTTTTTTTTCAGATTGGCAGGCTGTCATCTCTCTGATCAGCACTGTGAAATCCTGTCTTCAGCTCTACAATCATCAAACTCTTCTCTGAGAGAGCTGGACCTGAGTAACAATGACCTGCGAGGTTCAGGAGTGAAGCAGCTCTGTGCTGGACTGAAGAGTCCTAACTGTCAACTCAACACACTGAGGTACTTAAGGGTCTGTTTAAAATAACAGCATACAAGCACACAGTTGTTATGTACAGTTCCACCCTCACTAATATAAGGCTGTTATTTGCATTGATTCACTCGTTTTCTCGATGCATCGATTACAAACCCTGACGATGCAATGCATGGATTTTTGAATCGTGAATCGCCGATTTCGGACAGTAATCGATTTAAAACGCTAAGAATCGATTGAACCATGATTTCTATAGAATATATTCTATATTCAATGCTTTCAAAATATATACACATTAAATCACTACAAGCAGGAATTAATGGAGACCTTGAACAGTGTTCGTGCCCTCTCACCTCTCCTTCACGCACTCCACTATTTACCGCCTATGACTGTCACAGGATTGCGCTTGTGCTTAATTCGTCTCACTGACACATTTTTTGAGCAGCTGATGTGTGATCTCTCCTTAGTACTCGTGGCCTGTAATGCTAAAGTGAAGTAGTTTTTTTCCCTGTAGTTTTTCAATGGCTCTCGGTCATAACGACGACAACGTTATGTAATTAATTTTTCTCATTATTTGTAATTGTAGGGAATTCATTATTATTAATACATTCAGGTTTTGAGAGGACTCGGATCTGAATATCCCAAGTCCACCTGATTAAACCGATTTCAAATTTGTTGTGTTACACTTTAAATCCAGGATCGTCCATCGAGCCGTGATTTCAGTATATTTTAACAAACTGACTATGTATCTGTATTTTCCCTGGCCACGGGTTAAATACAATTATGATAATTTGTCAGCTCTTAGAGCGGTAATTATTATAAGTAAGCTACGAGCTAAGTAGCAAGCAAGGGATCTTTTTGGCAACAGTTTTAACCTTGAAATTATATGACACCAGACACTCCTACTTTATAAATGAAACATTAATTTTATTGGCTAATCTAGATTACATAAAAACCTAACTAAAGCAAACACACACATACACACACACACACACCTATACAGCTCAGAAAATTGAAGGAGTGAGTTAACGGATTCTATGAAGCTTCCAAGTTCTAACTTGTTTTACGAGTGATTTAACTTCACCTGAGTGAACTCACAAACAGAGAATTTAGCTTAATTTTACTGCTTCTCTAAATTCACCAGTGTCAGTTCAGCAGATTTGAAGAGTTTGTTTGTACCTGCGTGTTGCTTAGTTGACAGCTGAAAAGCTGAGGTGATTCCGTCGCTGACGCGGGCTTCCTGGATGTCTGTTGAGGGAACCCCGTTGCTGATTGGTCGGTTGCGGTGACGTCGGAATGACGTTTGAATGACGTTCTTTTGGGGAAGCCCTCCGGAGATTGGTTGGCTTCTTTATGACGCGGAGGCTTCAGCAGTTTTGCTACGGTCTGAGTCTGCGTTAAGTTCTTTGAAGTTTCTCTGAAGTGTTTGAGTTCTTAGATGGTCTCGCTGGTGCGGTGGTACGGCACGGGGCGCTTTGTCGCGCTCACCAAGGTGAAAGCCAAAGTTCTTTTGAGTGAGAGTGCGAGCCCAAGCGTAAGACAGCGCGAGAGGGCTTTGGGTCCCATTTTAAGCAGGCTGACTTTTGTCCAGCCCACAGGTTGCTGTCCAATCAGATGGTGGCTTAGCCACGCCCCATACAGTTCCTTATCATGCATGAATCACATGCTGTTTGTGGAGAGTATTTCTGCAAGTTTTAAATATCTTCTGATAACAGTATTATCACCAGAGAATGATACAAAATATAAACTTTTCACTAACACCAATGTTCGGCGAATAAGACAAGCTCTCATTCGCGCTTAAACAACAGGTATTTTGCATACACAGTAATCGTAATCACTAAAAGAAAAGTTATAAGGCCAAGATTGAGGTATCATGGTTTCGATAAACACATCAAATATATAGATACGGCATAACACATACAGTGGATACATTTTCACTACTTATACGTTTTAAACGATTGTCTGTTAAAATCACCATGCCAGGTTATGTTTCCTTTGTTGTAACAAAATGGATTTCAGTCAGGGCAGAAAGCAGATGTTCAATGGGTCATGCGACAGTCACACTGTATAGATCTCGTGTTCGCGGGCCTGAGGGCATCAGTTAATTTACTCATCCTTTTCCTGCTGGATATACTAGTTCTATACATTCGCGATCACGAGGTATCCATATGTCGTGAAAGGGCTTTTTAGTCTTGATACAAAAGATAGCTTTGTTGTCTCCTGATTGAATTAATTCGAAGCCTCATGATGGCTGATAGAGGCATATCCATGTCCGTTCATGTACTAGAAATCCCTACAGTTACCTGAGCAGTCGAAGGCTGTGCATTTATTGCATGGACGGAGCAACAATGTAAGTGTCTAAAGCATACACACAGTTCCATTAAATTATAAATGTGTTTTAACAATGTTGTTATACCGAATGTACAAAGGAAACTGTTAAAATAACCACAGCATTAACAACAAGCTTGAAATAAGAGCGCAAGGTTTATCTGATAATCAGATGCATGAAAGTAGAGTTCGTTGCTATAGCAAACAGACATCGGGCTCGTTTTCTTTCAGAATCATCATTCGCCGATGGAGAGGAAAAGTTCATCTCTGGGGTCCGAGGGTGTTTTGGGGCCCTGGAAAAGTTTTGACATGCCCTGACATTTGTGCTTTTTTCATTTGCTTACAATAGCATTGTATGTACAATAGCATTTTATTTTATGAAAATGAGATAAGGAAGTTTTCGCACTGAAAGAGAAGTGATATCGCGCTCATAGAACTTAAGATGTGCAAGGTTATATCTGCAGCTAATCTGAATAAAAAGCAGAATGAACTGAAATGTTAAGAGAATAAACACTAAAGACAATAAACAATAAATACAATTTATGAATGATGCAGTGCTAATTGACATATAATTTATTACAGTACCTTATTCTGTGCAGAAAATTGAAATAATTGTTTGTAGTATATAAAACAATCATAAAATTGCCATTAGGAAAAAATTATAGATTACAAATGATTGATTATTGTCCAGAAGTGTATTTGATTTCTTATAACAAATTCAAAGTAAGAGATAAAAAAATAATTCCTTGGGAAATTTTTTTTATAATAAGTCAAGTCTTTTCAAAAGACAATTTGCTATCTAATATAACACCCAGATTTTTGAGTGTAGAGGAATAATAATACATACATACATAACATTATTGTAGTTGACATTTCTGTCACTTCTGAAATGATGGCTACGCCCCTGGTGTGACAAAATGTTAGCCATACATAATACTTTTAAAGTTCTTTTTTTAAAATCTTGGTTTACATAAATTTCTACATGTCATGCCATAGCATCATTAAACTAGCATCTAACAATGCACAAACATTTTTCTTTTTCTCTCTAACCTATGGTTCTCTAACCATAAAGGCTGCTGTGTAATTTGCCCCCTGACTAAGCATTTAAAGAATTTAGGGGAAGCATTTAAATAATCCTGTGAATGCACTTAAAGAATGCAGAATCGAATCGTTAATCGAATCAAATCAAATTTAATTGTGAATCGAATCATTCTGAATTAGGAAAAATCATTCTTGAATCGAATCGAAAACCTATGAATCGTGAATCGAATCGATTCGCTGTCTACCCAAAGATTCACAGCCCTACTATAAAGTATAAATGCTAAGTTGTGGTGCCTGACCAGGGGCAGCATTTGAAGGAACAGGGTGTTGCTGACTCATAGTTACAGTTTAAGTTATAAGATATGTCTGTATTATATAAGTGTTGTTCACACGGGGCTTTGATTCTCTAAAATTGCCAAAGACAAGCTAGAGCCAAAATGTTGGTAACGAAACAGTAAATCCTTAGAAAAAGAACCTAGTAGCAAATCTGGGATTAATTTTTTAAAAATGTGTCGGTGTGAAAAAGAGCCAGAGCCTACTGGGTACCATGTGCATTGTCGTGATCATGTTAGTTATTGTGTGACAGTTTCACTAATAGAGGAGAAGAACAAGCAAGTCTGTATACAGAAAACAAAATCAAATTGTAGTTGTACTGATTATATTTGCTATAGCAAAACTAAGAAGTTGCTCTGCTTGGTTGTAGGGCTTCACAATTTAGCCAAAATTGTGTTAATCATCAAATATATATCATCAAATATGGGTGTATGTGTGCCATTCAAGACAAAAACATCACTTGTATGATACTGTACTTGTTGATCAATCTGCTACTCTGCTGAGAGGCTGCTCCAAAAGAGCAGTCACATTAACTTAGTACGTAAAAACATCATTGGCAGTGTAATGTGAAAACGGCACATTCTATCTTAGCTGCATTACTTAGCTGTATCACATTTTTTTGTTGCAATAATTTCTGATTGTCTCACGGACGGCAGCCACCCCTCCTCGACCCAGGAGCGCGGCAGCGAGCTCTCCGTCCCACCTCGTCTTCCATAGTTCCAGCACCGATCTCCTCAGCACCGCGATCCCCCTCAGCAGCGAGGGCTCTCTGACAGCGTGTCCCTCCTTCCTCCCGGGTTTCGGCACCAATGTAACACAGTTCGTAGTCACGGGAAGAAGGAGGCGGGAACCAGGAAGTTTTATTTAAATAAAACGTTAATAATAAAATAAACACAAAACAGCGCAACAGCCCCTCGCGGACGACTGTCGCGCACAAACAAAACCAAAACACAAAATAAACTCCAGGCCTGGTCCTCTCTCGTCCAACACGGTCGTCACTCCTCCCTTTTATCCTTCCGTGTGGGAGACGTAAATGTAAATAGTATTTATTTACAGATGCATATTATGTCACACTTCACACTTCTTTAGTAAGCATCATCTGTTTGTGAAGATGCTGCGCAGCACAAATCCGTGAATGAATGTTCCGAAGTGAAGTAAGCTTCAACGGATTTCCCCTGCTCAGGGAGTAAGGAGCAATGAACACTGTGTAGGGAGCATGTCAATCGGAACACAGTTCATGCACGTAGCTCTCTTCTAACAAGTTGGTTATCTGAATCAGGTGTGTTAACTAAGCGAGACGTGCAAAATATGCAGAGCGGGAGGGCGCGAGGACTGGAAATGGGAACCGCGTTGGGCTACATCATGAGTCATTCACCGGTGAGAAAACTTTATAGTACAGTTAGTAAAAGTACTACAGTACCAGGAAGGAAAATCGGGTTGTTGATGTTTGTCTGAATTGTTGTTAATAAGCAGATGTTTATTTATTTTTTTGCAAAACTGACTAGAAAACAGTATGAAAGTATTACAAGTTAAATCTAGCGTAGCGTCAATTCTGTCAGGTCATATTGAGCCTGGAATACACTACACAATTTTTGCCCTGATTTTCCTGCTGATTTACAGTCTGGAGAAGTTGATTCTAGTTGCCGAAAGTCAGAGTCAGTCTGCAGATTTGAGTTTACAGATTCCATAGAAAATCACATAGTGTATGCTGATCACAGACTCTGATTTTTTTTTAGCTTCAGACTCTGATTCACCCCATCGGAGGATATCAAACATGTTTGATATTTTCAGCCGATTTTAGAACACATATTGTTTTTATTTGTTATGCGTCTCATAGCAACAAGGCATACGTATCTGTGTGAGTTTTTTGTGATCGGAACGACTTTAAAGTCTGCTAGTGTATGATATTCCGTCGTCTAGTGTATGGTAGCCAATTTTCCTGTCACTATTTACAAAGTCAGTAAGTGTATGATGCTTAGTGTTTTAAAAATCTGTTGAGATTTTAAAAGTCATGTAGTGTGTTCCAGCCTTTAGTCAAGCTTGCATCAGCTAATGCTCAGCTCATTCATGTCTACCTATAAGAACGCCTATCACATCATTCCAATTTAAGTTACCTGTTCAGTATCCTCTAGCTGTTTTCATTTTGCTGATCATGAGCTAATTACCCTCCTCCATCCCCAACTCCAACTCTTGTCCACAGTCAGGATTTGACCTCTGAAATTTTCTTAATAGTATTTTAATAAAGAACATTAATGTTTTTCTGATATCATTAATATTGCTGCAATTCTAACAGTAACATATTTTTTTTCCATTAAAACAGTAATATACCTTTGAAACAAGGCATTCTGGGTAACATTTAGTTTTAATTTAGTGCATTACAGTGCATTTAGTGCCTCACTATCAGCACTGGTGCCCCTCAGGGTTGTGTTCTCTCCCCACTGCTCTTCTTCCTCTACACAAATTACTGCACTTCTAAAGACCCCTCTGTCAAACTCCTGAAGTTTGCAGACGACACCACAGTCATCGACCTCATCCAGGACAGCGGCGAGTCTGCTTACAGACAAGACGTTGAGCAGCTGGCTGTCTGGTGCAGTAACAACAACCTGGAGCTCAACACGCTCAAAATTGTGGAGATGATCATGGACTTCAGGAGGAACCCCCCTGCTCTCTCACCACTCACCATCATGGACAGCACTGTGGCTGCAGTGGAGTCATTCAGATTCCTGGGCACAACCATCTCTCAGGACCTGAAGTGGGACACTCACATTGACTCCATTGTGGAAAAAGGCCCAGCAGAGGTTGTACTTCCTTCGTCAGCTGAAAAAGTTCAACCTGCCAAAGGCACAGATGACACAGTTTTACTGAGTTGGTTCTGTGCTCTTCTATAACTGTCTGGTTTTGGTCAGCCAGCAAATCAGATATACAGGTGCATCTCAATAAATTAGAATGTCATGGAAAAGTTCATAGCAGGATTTGGCACCTGCCCGCACTGCCAAAAGCTCCAAAAGTTGGTTAAATGACCATGGTGTTGGTGTGCTTGACTGGCCAGCAAACTCACCAGACCTGAACCCCATAGAGAATCTATGGGGTATTGTCAAGAGGAAAATGAGAAACAAGAGACCAAAAAATGCAGATGAGCTGAAGGCCACTGTCAAAGAAACCTGGGCTTCCATACCACCTCAGCAGTGCCACAAACTGATCACCTCCATGCCACGCCGAATTGAGACAGTAATTAAAGCAAAAGGAGCCCCTACCAAGTATTGAGTACATGTACAGTAAATGAACATACTTTCCAGAAGGCCAACAATTCACTAAAAATGTTTTTTTTATTGGTCTTATGAAGTATTCTAATTTGTTGCTATAGTGAATTGGTGGGTTTTCGTTAAATGTGAGCCAAAATCATCACAATTAAAAGAACCAAAGAGTTAAACTACTTCAGTCGTTGTGCATTGAATTTATTTAATTTATTTAGTTTCACAATTTGAGTTGAATTACTGAAATAAATGAACTTTTCCATGACATTCTAATTTATTGAGAAGCACCTGTAAGAAGACTGCAACGGACTGTAAGGACAGCAGAAAGGATCATTGGTACTGCCCAGTACTCAGGACAACTCCAGAGTGAAGAAACGGGCAGGTAACATCATCAAAGACCCCTCTCACCCCGGACACAACCTGTTTCCACTTCTCCCTTCAGGCAGACGCTACAGATATCTGCGCACTAGAACATCTAGCTATAAAAACATTTTTTCCCCCCATGCCATCTCCAGCTTAAACAGCTAACACATGAATCATTAGTGTTCTGTAATTCATTTCCGTAATTCATTCTACATATTTAATTATTGCCTCTTTCTCAAGTATTTTGGAAATACATATGCATATATCTTTATTTATACAGTTCTATATAGAGTAAATAATGCACAAATCTGTACATAAATCTACTGTTCCAGATTCATACACATTATTTTTTGTTAAGTCTTACTATTTAAATGTTTTTTTTCTGTTCTCATGTCAGATGTGTATGTATGCATGCATGTATGTATGTACCAGGAGCACCTTAAAAAAACAACACAACAAATTCCTGATTCTGAAAGCTGATTCTGATTCTGATTATTAGGTTGTTTTGGCTGCTATTTTTTTTAAGAGCTGCCGCTGCTGAACGTGATGCAGATCTGACACGCATCATATTTTCTCTCAACTCTTTTTACCTTTTTTGACCCACTTCAGGTCTTAAAGTCTCTATTAATGAGCTGACGAGTTGGATCGGGTGTGTTAGATGAGGGAGACAGTGCTGGGCTGCTCCAGGACAGTTTTGAAAACCATTTCAGAGACATGTTCTTAAATGTGACTCATATAAAATATATTACATGCGTGCACAGTTTTAAGGCAGCTTTAATCGCCTTTTTGTTAACTTCATGACTTAACTAACCACGACATTGCATGCACATAGTTTATTTTGCACTTTGATATGAAAGGATACAGGCTACAGCGCGCGCTGGTGCTTTTGTGCGTGCAATTGAAGAACACGCACTGCGAGCACAGTACCGTTTCCGCACTGTTTGACTCGCGCCTGGTGCTGAAGTGAAGTGGAGCGTGCGTCTGAAACATCTCCTGTTCTCAGTAGTTCTGCGACTGAATAAATGCACTTCTTGTCAAAAGAAAAAGTGACCGAAGCAGCAGTTGTGAATGGGTGGCCAACCCTAGCCCCGCCCCTGCGTTAATTGCGTTAAATATTTTTAACAAATTAAACTGAAAAGAATTGATCGCCTGCGTTAACGCGCTAATTTTGACACCACTAATATATATATATATATATATATACACGTACACAGTATTTTGAAGGTAAAACTGCTGCTAGTTAAATACTACAATGTTTGAAAAGTTGAAAAGTTTACTGCAAAGCATGAAAAGTTTTACAGTGCTCTTTATGTGAACAGAGTGAAACTGAAAATAATCCTCCACATATCAGCACCTTAATTTCATTACAATCAATCAGAGTGCCTTATGAATATAATTTTTAGCCCCCCAAAAGACTTATTTCTGAAAATAATATATTTTGAGCAGGCAAGTCAAGTGTTCTGCACTGTTGTTTTGACTCATTGAAAATAATTGTTTATAATAACCTTACAAAAGTTAGTTAAATAATGATAATCAAAAGAATGATTGCTAGATATCTTACTCATCAAGCAAAAAAAAAAGCTATCTCTAGGGTTGTTTTAAATCCTTTGAATCCTCTGATTTTAAGTCCACTTGTTGTTGTAGATTATCTGGCTGTTTGGTGACAGAAGACGGTTGTGCTGCTCTGGCATCAGCTCTGAGTTCAAACCCCTCACACCTGAGAGAGCTGGATCTGAGCTGCAATCATCCTGGAGATTCAGGAGTGAAGCTGCTCTCTGATACACTCAAACATCTGGACAAACTCAAGTAAGTTTAACAATAAAAATTATAATATATAATCTATGCAGCAAAGATTCATGCTAACTGAACAAATTTTTTTGGGTCTCATCCAGACACTGCTTTACTAAAAGTTTTATGGGAGCATTATGACCGCTGTTTACATTGGGGAAAAATCTCTTTTATGATTTTATGAGCTCTCAAATATACAAGAATTTACAACAAATGTCCAATAGTGATAATTATGACTGACGGTGCTCCAGCGTTAATTCCGTCACCGAAGACGACGAAGGAAAATATTCGCTAACAAACTTTTTTTTCTGTGACTAAGATGAGACTAACTAATATCTGATGATAAAAACTATGACGAAATTTATGCCGCGTCTTCGTTAACAAGACAAGACGGGACTATAATTAGGGGTGGGGAAAAAAATCGATACAGCATAGTATCGCGATATTTTCCGTGGATATAGTGTATCGATACACGGATGCCAAGTATCGATCTTTTATTATACTATTTGGTAGAATAATAAAATTAATTTCTTTACAATCCACTAGATGGTGGTGTTGAGTTTTTTTCTGGTGAGGTCAGCTGGGTCACCTTCAGCATGCAGTAAGTTAGTCAAATAAAGAGGGTGGCATCGCGGAAAGTTATCAGGAAATCCCCGTCCACGTTTAAATCGGATGTATGGACTTAATTCGGATTTGTAAACAAGGAGGGGATGTGAGTAGGGATGCACCGAAAATATAGACTACATATAATAATAATAATAATAATAATATATATGGCGCGCCCCGCCCCGCAGTGTTCAGCGTGCATGTTTCACTCTCCTCGTCACTGCGCGGTTTGACGCTCCGAACTATTGTTCATTCTTAGTTCATTAACTAAAGTAGTTTACTAATGAACCTTAGTGTAAAGTGTTACCAATATTAATATAACTTCTGTCCAGTTTTATTGTGTTACTTTCAGTAAAAGTGTGGTTATTTTATTGGCTTGTGGTTTTTTTTATTCAGTATCATTAAAATTTAGTTAAATTTATTAATTTATTATTTATTATAAAAATTTTCAAAATTACTTTATATTATTTAATAAAATAATAAATAATCATTACAAAGCATTTTCGGTTTCAGTTTTCGGCCAAGTGCATCCAGAATTTTCGGTTTCCGTTTCGGCCCAGAATTTTCATTTCGGTGCATCCCTAGATGTAAGACTACATGTTTTATTTAATTTAATTTAAATTTAACAGTAATTTAGTTAACTAATTAATGTTAACCAACAAAAGATCTTAAATAAATGTGCAAATCTTAAGTAAACCTACTGTATCTGAAAAATGAGTTTAATTTGTATCTCGTTCGTATTTGCCTTATTGTCTTATTCTGCTTCTTTTTCAAAAATTATAAATTATAGGCCTATATATTATATATGAACAACTATCATTTTTATAAGTTGCTCACTTTTCACTACTGTTAAAGGGATAGTTCAACCAAAAATGAAAATTGTCATCATTCAAGTTTTTCCAAATTCAATCCTTGATTCAAATTTCATATAAGCTTAATTGATTTGGTCTAAAGAGAGAATAATTAATGACAATTTTTGTTTGAAGACTACATATAAAATAGCTACCAAAATAAATGTTGGTAACTGCAGTTTGACTAAAATAATGACAAAATAATGACTAAAAGTTGACAAAAATGCAATGACTTTTCGTCGACTAAAACTATGAAAGACTCAAATTACTAAAAAGACTATTAAGCATTTTCGTCTCAAGATAAAGACTAAGACTAAATCAAAAATGCCTGTCAAAATGAACTGTGGTGCTCGATTTCTGAAACCACAAGCAGTATGTGCAGAAAGATGCAGGGTTTTTTTGTTTGTTTTTGACAATCATAATCATTAAGTCATTTCACAGTTTAGTGGTAATTTGAGAAGGTTTTAGGGCCCTCATTAAACAAAAATGTATATGTAAAAATAGTTTGTACATATTGTGCCATTGGGAAGTGACATATGCTTCCATTAACTAACCATGTAACTGCAGAAGCACACAGTCATGTACTGGTGTTTTTGCTTGTTTGTACAGATGGGACTCAAACAGAATGTTTGTTTTGATTTTGTTGCCAAGGGTACTTCCACTGCTTCTGTGGCAAATGCATTTGCAGCTTTTGACCACTAAGTAGAGCTAAAGCCATAGACTTCCACAAGTAATCAGAAGAATGTATCAAAGCACAAGTAGCGGTCAACATATATTTGGTGGCTGCAGTAGGTGGATATTCAAAGAAAACCGTAGTTAAAAGATTCAATATCACTGGAGCAAATGTAGTACTTTTGAACTCATGCAAATGCATTTGTTATTCAGAGCAAATTCAGATCAATAAGAATATGTCTGTCCATGAACTAAGAAATCATTCAACTTTTTTATTTGAATTAAAACAAGAGCATGTTGCATTCATTCGTAATAATGATTTAATTCTTTAAAAAAATAAGAAACACATAAAATTTGGGCATGATTTAATGAAACCAATGGAAATAAAAGGAAGGGATGGATTCATAAAATGTCCTCACATTTGAACTGAAACGAAAAAAAAATTTAATTTTCATTTCCTAAAAAAAGGACATGAAAATATAAGAAAAAATCTAGAAGAAAAATAAATCTATTGCTTTTAAAACTAAAGTCCTCTCATTATAATCTATACTTTCTGTATACAATTTAGTTACTGTTTGAGTCAAACCTTTATTTTTCGTGCTGCTACGATGACCATGTCCACATACACACTGCAAAGTTGTAAGCAGTGAAAGCCGCATTTGAGTCAATCTGCTAAATTATTGTTTTGTGAGTCATTCACGAATTTCAGATGATTGACAGTGATAACCTTACCAATGGAAGAAAAACATCAAATTTTATAGTTGATCTGTGCATTAAAGTCAGTGTTGACTGAATATGGTTTCTAATAATTTAAAACGTGTGCATGCGCGCACACACATGCATTTGTTTTTGTGAATTGTGGCGTATTTCCATAGGCGTAATGGTTTTTATACTGTATAAACCATATTTTCTGTCGCCCCTTTTTAAACACTGATTTACTGAGAGTCTATGAGAGCATCATGAGCGCTGTTTACATTGGGGGAAAACGTCTCAGGTTACTTATGTAACCATGGTTCCCTGAGTAGGGAACGAGACACTGCGTCCTCTAGGGGTCGCTATGGGGAACGCCTCGTTGTGACCCGTGTCTGAAGCATACATTGAAAAAACATGGCCGGCGACAGCCATGACGTCACTACCGGTGCGACTATAGTATAAATAGGCTCTTAGATAAATCTAGGCTCTTGGTCGTATTCCCTTAAAGGAATCTATTCCTGATTCCAAGCCTTGAGCTCTCCCCCGGGCCCAGGAGTCTGGCCCTAACAGGTAAGTATTTTGGGGTATGTAGCCTAGGCCTTTGGCCATAGGGAATAACGTCACTGACAGCCGTCTAACGTCCCAGGGGTGACTCCCATAGCAATATGGTAGAGTTGGTACTTAGTGCTCGCCATGGTTCCGGCTTGCACTCCCCTCAGCATGGTGGCGTGGGTATACCGTTCCCCATAGCGACCCCTAAAGGACGCAGTTCGAAGTTCCCATGAAAGGGAACGTCTCAGGTTACTTATGTAACCATGGTTCCCTGAGTAGGCAATGAGACACTGCATCCTCTAGGTTTCTTGCCATGCTGTGGATGCAAGCTTCAGACGAAGAAGTGAATGATGTGTTCTCCCGGCGCCTATTTATACTCTAGTCGCACCTGTAGTGACGTCATGGCTGTCGCCGGCCAACGAGTTGGTGTTTTTTCAATGTATGCTTCAGACACGGGTCACGACGAGGTGTTCCCCATAGCGACCCCTAGAGGACGCAGTTCAAAGTTCCCATGAAAGGGAATCCCAACACTCTACACCTTTATCATCTTTTTCATTTTAGTTAAAACAAGAGCATGTTGCATTCATTCGTAATGAACCCTACACCTAAACTTAGCCCTCCCAGGAAACTTTGTGCATTTTTACTTTCTGAAAAAAACTAATTCTGTATGATTTATAAGCCTTTTGAAATATGGGGACATGGGGTAATGTCCTCATAAGTCACCTTCTCCTTGTAATACCTATGTCACCCATGTCATTATACAAATTTGTGTACACACACACACACACACACACACACACACA